TTTCCATCTTCATCTCAGCTCTGAGTTCCTCTTTCTGCTTAGCTAGAGCGTTTTCTAGCATTTGAGCTAACTGGTCTGGAGTGATGGTAAACACCTCTCGGACTCATCCTGTGCTGGACACAGTAGTATCCGAAGCAATTGCAGAGCAAGCGTCTGACGATTCGTCATCTGAGGATAACCCTCTGCTCATTCGTTGATAATCCCTTGGTCTGATAGCTCCGGATCACAACCGAGTTAAACGCTAGGATATTTCTGGAAAAGGTTTGAGACTGAAATGCCGTGTTGATTTCCCTTTATCAGTCACGTTGATGGTGACTTCTGGGAGTTCATTATCTTGAATGGCCGGTCTTCTCTTGTGGAAGCGCCTCGGCTTAGGCTTCGATGTTTTGCCAGAATGTCTTTCAAATACGGAGACCCTCCGTGGAGCGATCTTAGGGTAACTACACTCTGATAATACTGCCCTGATAAGCTTGGTACACAGACAGTGAGAATCCGTTTTTCGGGTACTTCTTTTTTAAGATTTGTTCGTTCCCCTAGCCCGATAGTATAACTCATTGGCATGATTACTGGAGTAACCTATTGTGTGCTAGCATGATTCCCCAGGTCTAACGTCAGCGTCCGACGAATATGTTTCCTTCTGGTGATATAACGCCTCATTAGCATTCTCAAGAGTCACTCGTTTGGAACCACACTTCGTGAGCATGGGGCCCCAACAGGCTCTTGGACTTCAACTCACAATTTGAGGCAAGTGGTTACAGGTACTTTCTCAACATGAGAGGTCCTTGACCTATTAGGAGGGCGCGCACGACCCCCAGTCTGACGAATCGCATAGGGTTTATTCACCGGACCCAAACGCTCTTTAATCGGGGCTTTGCCTCGACCCTCGTGTAAAGGATCGAGGCGATCTATGATCTTCATCTTGAATCGGGACAAGTTCATGCTGTCGCGGGGCTCCACCGAAGGTGCGGGATCAATTGGAGTAGGAGTAGAACTCGATGTGATCAGATAAATAGGCGCAGAACACCTTCTGTCTCGGCCTTGGCGTGGGTCACCTTAGGTCATAAATAAAAAGTTGGCGCTTCTGTCTTTTCAGCCGTAGTTTTAGCATTTGGCCTCCATACTTTACGTAGTTTTGGTGGTTTTTTAGTCACCCCTTCCTTTTGCAATTTCTTGTCTTCCTGCATAAGGATTCTTATGTGCGCAAGCAATACGCGGCGCTTCTGAATACGCTCCTCAAGGGTCGAACGAGTCCTTTTGACACGGACACATTCATTTGTCACTGGTTTGGAGGAGGAACAATTGCCACGCTGTTATGGTGCTTGGTGATTCCTAAACTTTAGATCCGTCTCATAGTGGATCCCGTTAACTGGCTCCAAAGCCTTGGCGAGTTGGCACGTGAGGCGCTGACGTTGCCTTTGACGTGCTCTCTTTGATAGAGTTGGTGCGCCTTCAACAATAAACTCCTTGATCAAGGAGGGGCTCGGATTTGAATATCCAACTGCCTCGGACACCAGAGGAGCGTTGTGAGATACAACTGCAATAGCAATGAGGCAGAGATCATTATCTTGGGTCTTCAGATTTGAAGACCAGTGAACCTTCCTTAAGAAGGAGATCCTCTTGCGCTTGTGAGGGGAGGAGGATCTGGAGGAGGAAGACATGTATTCCTCGTACTTTTGCTGGTCAAACTCGTCTTCGACCTCTATATCAACTGGGATCAGGATCCTTGGTTACGTCACTACAGCCTCGGTAGAGAGGCTGCTGGCTCCCACTGTGGTCGCAGGCGTGTTTGGTGCAAAAGTTGATTTTTTCATTGTTGAACTCATTACAACTTCTTTCGTTACAATAAGTTCAAAAAAGTAAAAGTTAATCTTTTTATAAGATCTCTTTACATAATGAAAAATAAAGATTACAACTTCTTTCAAACAATACACAGATCCTATTTATTAGTCTTTGTTTGTGTGAGATCTTTGCCTGTGTCGGGGTTTATCCGTGGACAACCGCAGATCAGATCCGGTTGATCAGGGTGCTAGAAGTTCGTTGCTTCACCAAGGAAATAAGAACATGAGTGATAATCTTGACCAAGCGAGATTATGACTCTTCTCGAGATCAAGTCCAAGCCTGCTCTCAAGGAATGAGGGGATAGAGTTTCAGATCCTTCAAATTACTCCTTTATGTCGGGATTCGCCAAGTTCTGTTAGCCCTCTCTGAAATTTCATGGAATGCACTCATAAAACTAGCATCACCTCACCTTCTTGATAAAAATTATAGATCTTAAGAAATGAGCCTCAAAGTTTGTATTTATAGGGCTTCAGATACCCTGTATTTGGATAAGAATAAGGGATTTGGCCTTATCTTCAGTTAACAATGGCCTAACCACGTATGAGGATGATATCAAGTCAGTTAGGATGCTCTGGTATGAAGAAATCCCGATAAAATCATCAAAATACACGTTTTGGGTACCGAGGTGCGAGTCACGTCAACGTGACCCGCTAACTTGCACGTCACCTTAAGGTGACGCGGCCCTGTGTGGGTTACCTTAAGGTGACACGCTGAATTGCGCATCACCTTAAGATGACGCGACCATGTGCGGGTCATCGTGCGCGGGTCACCTTGGGGTGACCCGCTCGGGCACGGGTCACGTTGGGGGTGATCCGCACATGCGAGTCATTCCAAGGCGTTTTGCACATTCCGACTTCTCCGGACTTGTCTTGCTCTGCTGTTTTACGTATTTTATCGTTCCCTCCACTCGTACGCTTTGTCGATTCGTCTCATGCGTTTGTCGGCATCAAAGAATTTGCTTTGACTCGGATAATGTTATTCATCGTCTTTTTTCCGTCTCAAGCTGCGTACGTGAACCCATAGGTAATTTTTGACGTCTACAATATCTTATTATATATCATATTGCTAGGATATTGCATTATAAGTTTTAATTTGGCATCGACGTAATCCCTCTGCTGCTTGGCAGCAGCATGAGGAGTCCGAGACAGAACCATTCACAGGCTCCAGAAGGGGGGTGAGTCCCCGATCGCTGGTCTTCATAAGGCGGAGAGATGACAGAAGTAGATTGCTGCGGCTATGGAAACCGGTTGAGGAGCTCGCTAGTGAAGGTAGTGAGTTGCTGTTGGAGGGATTGAGAGATCTTCTGAGCTGTTTCTTCAAGTTGAGCTTGAGTAACGTAGCTCTGGTGTGGTCCTCTAGGGTTAGACTGATTAGCCTTATACTCAGAGCGAGACGTACTTGCTCAAAAAAGAAAGATGCCCCACGGTGTGTGCCAAACTGTTGATGGTTTAAATCACACAGTTAGAAGGTAATAGTGACTAGGTTGATATGGGGGCCGCTCCGTAACAACTCGTAAGAGGACGGGGACTGCTTCCCCCATTGTTCCTCCGGCGATCAAGTCAGCTAGGTGCTTGAGTGAGAATATAAAAAAATGCAGCGAAATAGAGAAAAATACTGAGAAATTGCTTACCCTTGTATTTGGAATAGTTTTCCTTTTTATAGCCAAGTAAGAGGGGTAGTCTAGTCTTTTTGGCCGAGCCTAAGCTAGCGGCTGAGTCAACATCTACTTTACAGGTGTCGATCATGGATCTACTACGGGATGGGCGCTGTCATTTCATCATTAATGAGATGCAATGGGGGGCGCAAGAAGCCAGCGTGGTCCGATGTGTCATAAATTGTGTCAAGGATGAAGAAATTTGGCATTTGTCAAGCATTTAATGTGAAGTAGACGAGCTGTCAGCGGGGAGGTTTGAGATTGAAGTTATTTTTTGGCTTGTAGCGATGAGTGTTGAGAAGTAACGCCATTCGAGTCGACCCCACGAGGTGTCGAATAACTGGTCGAGTGGGCTCGTAGCGAGTTATCTTCGACAAGAGGATTGACAAGTACCGCCATTCGAGTCAACCTAAGGAGATGTCGACTCAGCGAGTTTGCTAAGTTGGGATTCTTGGTGGTCCTGACTGCCAATTCTATTTGAGCGGTGCATGTAGTGGGACACCTGTCCGTTGCTAGTAAAGTGTCCTACTTTGGCGTCTGAAAACACCATAACAGTGTTGATTTACCTTTTTCTAGATTCCATCATAAAATTAAAATTCTGAAGGTACTCCTATAGTTTTGATAAAAAATAATTTCTTTTTTATTTAACCAAAAATAAAAAGGAGAAATGAGAAATGTGAAAAAACCCAATTAGCGCTTAAATATAAAACACATTATTCTTTCCTCTAGTTTGCACTTATATACTTGTGTTTGGCATCACTTTGATGCCCAGGGGTTTTTCAAATTTTGTATTAATACCTTCAATTATGCAAATATGAGAATTCATAACCCCCACCAACCAAACCCCCCACCCCGTTCCCCACCAAAAAGTCCCACTCATATGCTAATTTTAGATCTATTTAGCCCTCAACTTTTATCAAATTTACTATTAAACCTACCTCGATTCTATTTGAAATCTACTCCAATTCTATTTTAAAATAGAATTTGTATAGGTTTAACAATAAATTTAACAAACATTGAAGATTAAATACTTCTAAAATTAGCATGTAAGTGTCACACAGTATTTTCAGGGAATTTTTTTTACATTCACATAACTTAAGGTAGTAAACTGCAATGTTTATATATGGATGCTGCCCAAAATAAGTGAAGATATATAAAAGTGTAAACTAGGGGAAACAACAAGGTATTTAAATGCTAATTAGGAAAGGAAAAGAAAAGAAAAGGGAAGGAAATGAAAGATAAGGCTAAAAAAAAGAAAATGCTACTTGGTACGGATGATGGGCCCCCAGCCCATCTCGTATGCCACAACAGAGTGGTAGGACCCACAACCCCCCTATTTATGGCATGCGGGATGAGTTGCGCCTACCTTTGGTGCCAAATAGCAAGGTTGAAAAAGTAAAATGCCATTTGGCACCCAGCCTTCTTTGGTTGCTAAAAAATTGACACCTCAGCCTTCTTTGGATTTCCCTATCACTCATCCCCCTTCGCATTCTCATTGCAGGTTTGGAGCCACCATCATTCTCTTCTCCGAAACAAAAAAAATGTCCGCTGTGTTCTCGTTCATACCTCCCCCATTCTCTCAGTTCCCAAACTGTTCAAATTTGTCTCATTCTCTTCCCAAATTACCACCTAAGTTCCTTCACTCAACCTTCCCCTTAAAGAGACCCTTCTCTTCTCTCTCCCCAAGAGCTTCAGGAATTGCTCTCAGACCTCTACTTAGATTAGAAACCCACTTGGGTTTTGTAGTTTTTTTCCCCTAGAGTTGTTGACATTTTGCTTAACATCAACTTTGAGCACAAGCTGTTTGATGAAATTCGTGTTAGAAGCTAAATGGGTTTTTTTTGGGTCCCAATGTTTTGCAGTTGGGAGTACAGAGTACGTTATTGAGCCTGCGACCGATGTGAAGTTTCCCAAGGAGCTGACTGTTCCGGGCTGCTTAGATTCCTTAATATTGCTTGGCACAGGTCTGTTGCTTCTGATGATGAGGATGCTCAACTTTTGTATTTTTTATGCAAACCTTAAACGGATGTGCCTAAAGTATTGGTAAAATATTAGATGGGTACTTAATGTTTGGAAGTGATCGGTAGGGTCCCTAACGTCATCTCTGTCTTTTTACAAACTTCCGTAGAATTTTGCTCACGAGGGTGTGACACGGCAGGACAAACTTGTATTTCCGTTTTTTTACTAATGTGGCAGTACAAATTTGGACTTTCACTAAATTTTTTTGCTGATGTGGCAGTCACATGGCAGAGCCAGTTCATCGTGTTGGATATCATGTCCCCAAGATATAGTTTTGATGATAACAATTTATTCACTATGTGTATTATTGTGCACTAATATATCAATGTAAATATCAACTTCAAATAAGCTCAAGATATGTGAACAAAAGTGCAAGATGAGCTCAAGGTAATATGAAGTGAAGAAATGAAGTGCTTAAACATATATAATGTAAATTTTACATTTTCTTTACTTAGAATTATTATACAAGCCTTGATCACTCACAACACATACACACACATAGTGTTTAGACACACTAACACATGCTTAGTGTTGGTTAACAATAGAAATCCTCTATGTTAACCATTATAGTTTATAGTTAAAGAATGAGTCTTAAAATACTTCATTCATATCATTTTTACCCCTTAGTAGTCGACCAATAAGATTTATAGTCGACTACATACACACTGATCAAAATATCAAGTTTCTGTCATTTGACACTGTAGTTGACTATTGACAATTGTAGTCGACTACTCATGACTTAGACATATTTTCAAGTTTCTGTAAAAATACATCGTAGTCGACTAATGACTATATATAGTTGACTACTAAGATTAAATTTAATTTTTAAGTTTCTGTCAAATTACAGTGTAGTCGACTACTAGGCAGTATAGTCGACTACTAAACTTTGAATCTGAGGCAGTATAGTCGACTACTAAACTTTGAATCTGAATTCCAGACTTTCTGTTATTACAGTGTAGTCGACCAATAACCAGAGTAGTCGACTACTAAGAAAAATCCTGACTTCATAGAGTCTGTTTGAACTCAGTATAGTCGACTACTAGGAGTTATAGTTGACTACAGAGACAGTTCTTCTGACATTTCTTGAATTTGTGACTGTTTATAGCCGTTTTTGATCCGTTAATTGGCTTTAAAAACTTGTCTTTTCAAGGGCTATAAATAGGTTATAAGTTCAGAAATTTACACCATTCATTCTTATCCATAAGCTTTAACATTTATGCATTCTCAAGAGTTCTAAAATTCAGATTTTTGCCTAAGTGTTGAGAAAAGTGAATTCTGAAATAGCCTTTGATCTTCATCCCATATACAAAGTATTTATACAAAGTATTAAGGCATTTTTCAGAGGTTAAAAAGTTCCTAAAGCCACTGGTACACATCACTACATATTCAAGGCTTATAGGAATTGTGTTGTTGATTCAAAAAATGTTCTCTCGGTGAGAGTTGTGATCTCTTGGTGAAGAGATTGTGTGTAATTTGCATGGTCTTGCAAATTGGTCAGGTTTACTTTTTTGATTTTGTAATAGTTTTTAAAATCATAGTGGAACTCTCAAGCGGGATTTGCTTGGGGACTGGATGTACATCGAGGAGGTGGAATCAGTATAAAAGCTTGTGTTCGTGATTGCAAATTTCTGTGATTGTTGCTATCTTTCTTGCAATTTATAATCTACTTTACATAAATTTTAAAAGAATACTATTCACCCCCTCTAGTGTTTTAGTGTGTATTAGAGCAGATCCTACACACCGCTGCCATGTTAGCAAGATTTAATGGAAGTGTGTAAAAAAGACCTAAGTTGATGACGAAAGCAATGTTAGGGATCCCGCTAAAGACTTACCAAACATTAAAGACTCAGATGATATTTTGCCAATACATCTGGGACCCTCTCACCGTCCCTCAACTTTTGTCTTGTTTTTATCAGACAACATTAATTGGGACTTAAAATTGTAAAAGAAACTTTTGTCTTGTTTATAGATATATAATTATTCAGAGAACAATGTTTCATTTGGTCACATCATTTGAATGGGTACAACGAGCTAATTGATTTAGTAGTATGATTGATGAAAAGTTAAGTCTTTTTAACAGAGGATAAGCTATTCTTCTACAGGTATCAGAAGAAACCAAGGCAGAGCGTTATGTGAGAGCTTATTAAAATTTGCCTGAGGTTATGGCATATGGCATAACCGGATAGGGTGACAAATTGAAGCATAGGATGCTGTAGATTATTAGAATAGTGAAATATGCAGTATATTATTAGAGTAGTGAAATATGGATGCAATCCGTGCAGGATCATCGCATAGGGAGGAGATAAATTGTTGCTATGACAATAAGGAATATTAGAAACACTGAAAAATGCAACATGGCATAGCTTGTTGCAAAATTTATAAACAATTAGCTTAAAACTTTGCTTGTTAGACCATAGCTTGCTGTATTTGTCTGAAGTCTAAATCAAACATTTTTACCATTTTGAATCGTGATAGCTAGAATGGTGTGAAACCAAGAAAATACTTGCTGGATGCCCAAATTTCTTCTGATTGGATGGGATGAAGAGATAGAAGAATGCTTTCTTTCTAAATAAATTTGGAATCGCAATGCAGGGTCAATGATTGGTGAGTTGGGTTTGGTGGGCCGGTGATTTATTCGTGCTCACTCAATGTTTGAATGGTGGGCTGGCGACTGCATATTGGTGACTGCATCAGAATGCAGTAGACTCATGGTGGCCATGTCCATACATCGAGGTGATTGACTGGTAGATTCCCATTGATAATATGCGAATCAGAGTTTTATGAGAAGATCTTATCCACAAGAGCAGCTTACTTGGAAAGAGAAAAGAGGAGGGGCCTTTTTCTTATATTTGATTGCTAAACAACTTGTGGTGCCAAGAGATGAGGGTTCTTATTTGGGAAGGCAGGGGTGAGCACAAAGATGACACTTGTGGTAGTTGACCTGTCAACGGTCCTGAGGTATTGCAGGGGTGTTTTTACAGTAGAATTAGTAACCTTGTTTTTGTACCATGTTAAGAATCCCCTCCCTCCCTTTGCACATGTGTGCATGTTGTAGACTTGTAGGTTATCCGTGGAAAGTTCTACGAAAGAAAAACTTAAAGAAAACCTATAAGAAAGAAATATTCTTTATCTATAAGTTACAAATGTGAAGCAGTCCAATCACGTTTACGTGGCTAAGCACTCTTCTAAGCAGCACATCTAAACAATTGATAGAACGCTCAATATTTTTTTATTTTATTTTTAAGATGTGAGCCAGTGATATGAAAGCAAGGCAATTCAATTGCAAGCGAAACCCCCAAAGAGTTTGGATTATTCTAGTAGATATTTCTTTCGTTTTGTTTCTTATTTCAACTTGTTTTGCATGTAAACTAGATTTCAGATTTTGAGAGGGCGTTAAAGCAAGCTGTCACCTGTGAATGCTATCATGTTTGCTTCACTTTAGGAGATTGTTGTAATTTCTTTTGTGCCTTACCATATGGGCGCATCAAAGGAAAACTATCTTTATTAAGTACATTCATGAGGGTAGATTCACTTGCAATATTCTGCTTAATCGGAAGTATGCACATTCCCATTCTGGTTCTTATGCAATGTGCTAAATTAATTGCGTCTGAGTATGGTACTCCTCACCCTTTCTATTTCTAGGTTAGAGGTATCAATCAATTCCCAAAGATGAAAATCCACATATTGAGGAAAATGAGAAATCCTAGCATTTTCCAAAATAAATCAATTAGATTGTTGAATATTAATAATCTCACTGAGTTTTTGCAAGTGCAGGTTATAGAGAAAAGGTTTTTGCAATTATTGGTGTGAAAGTCTATGCTTCAGGATTCTATGCCAATTATTCTATCAGAGAATTGTCAGAGTCCTGGAAAGGGAAGTCAGCTGACGATGTTTTGAAGGATTCCTCAGTTTTCATCTCCATTTTCCATGGTAGCACCAGTTGACGTTTTACTTTTTCTTTTTCATGGAAAAAAAATTCAATTCAAACCGATTTATTCGTTTATCCTGCAGCACCCTTTGCAAAATCATTAAAAATAATGTTAGTAAGAGATGTTGATGGTAAGACCTTTTGGAATGCCTTAAATGATGTCATTTCTCCGAGGATCAAGGAACCCACAGCTGTGGATGAATCTGCACTGTCAAATTTCCGCAATACCTTTCAGGGCCGTGATCTTAATAAAGGAACCCTCATACTTCTAACCTGGATAGAGCCATCCAAGATGCTGGTAATTACTCAGAATATTATATTGGCTGAGCTGTATTTCCATGATATTTGAAGAATTGGTTACTTGAAAACGTGTAACATGAGTTTTTGTTGAACTTTCTGGTATTTACAGGTTTCCATCTCATCTGATGGATTTCCTAGCAATATAGATGCTGAAATCGAGTCAGTAAATGTGACTTCATCCCTCTTTGATGCTTTCTTTGGAGAATCTCCTGTATCCCCTACTTTGAAGGCCTCTGTCTCTAACGGGCTTCTGGCAGTCCTCAACTAGCTTTTAAGCAAGTATGTATCATTAGTTCCCTGAACTTTCCTATCTTGAAAATTCTGTGGTTTAGGCTGTCTGTAAATAAAACTAAATAGTATACAATATGGTGATCTAGATTACTTTGAGAAAAAGCTCTATCCTCTTAACTTCCTAGTACATGAAAGCTTGAATAATTTCAATCTGAGAACAGATTTACACATTTTAATGGTAATATTGTCTTAACTATAGTCTTTAGTCATTACTTACTGGTAGGTGATATAGATTGATTTGTTAGATAATCAGACAATATTGTAGTGTATATTTAATTCCTTCATTACATGTCTAAGGGATTGTTAGAAGAGAGTATGAGTATTAGTTTAGCATTAGTTTAGTCCCACATTGTATGTGAGACTAATTTGTAACTAATCCATCTCTATAAATAATAAAGTATAGAGTGAGAGAAAACTCTCCCAAGAAACTCTTTTCTCTCCAAATTTTAACATGGTATCAGAGCCTATCCCTAACCCTAACCCTAATACTAATTCAAATTCCTAAGCCTAACCCTAACCCTAGGCAGCCGCCTCTCTCCAAAACTCTAGCCGTCAAAACCCTAGCCGCTTTCTCCAAAACCCTAGCCGCATCTCTCCAAAACCCTAGCCGCCAAAACCCTACAGCCGCCTTATCATCCTCATCTTTCTTGTCCTCACCATCGTCATCGCCCTCATCTTCCTCCTTGTCCTCGTCCATCAGATCCACGTCCTCATCCTCTAGCTTCTCTCACCTGATGCGACAACTCCCAACCGACGCCGCTCGCCGTTGATGACCGCCGCCACCATGAGGCCTTCACTCTCCGCCACCATGCTCGCCGCGCGCCGCTCTCTTTTTGTTTTTGGATCTGAATCGGATCTGCGAGTTGTCCTGTAAAAAAAATACTTTCGAGTTCCATCTTAACCTTCGGGTTATTGATCTTTAACATTCGCGTTTCATGTTAACATTTTCTTGCACTTTAACCTTCGGGTTCAAAATTAAACATTTGGGTTCTTGGACTTGTTCAGCCTACTAGATAATTCAAGACTTATTTTTTTGAACTTGGACATACTTTGATTGTTCCATTTTGGAGTACAACTTGTGGAGGGTATTGTCTTGAACTCTACTCGTATGTTTCATGATGGACGGATCTAAGGAACTCAAGAATTCTGAGTTAACAATCCAAATGAAAGTTTCGGAGATATTTTCTAGTAGAATCACTAACCGAAAATCTTGATGGAATTAACTATTTCCAGTGGAAGCGTGTTATTGAAATCTACGTGACAGGCCGAGGCAAAACTGGTCATGCCGCCTCTCTCCAAAACTCTAGCCGCCAAAACCCTAGCCGCTTTCTCCAAAACCCTAGCCGCCTCTCTCCAAAACCCTAGCCGTCAAAACCCTGCAACCGCCTTATCGTCCTCATCTTTCTCGTCCTCGCCATCGTCATCACCCTCATCTTCCTCGAAAACTCCTCGTTCTCGTCCATCCGATCCACATCCTCATCCTCGAGCTTCTCTTACCCGACACGACAACTCCCACCCGACGTCGCTCGTCGTTGATGACCGCCGCCACCATGAGGCCTTCGCATGCCACCGCCATGCCCGCCGCTCGCCGCTCTCTTTTTGTTTTCGGATCTAAATCAGATCTGCGAGTTGTCCTGTAAAAAAAACATTCGGGTTCCATCTTAACCTTCGGGTTCTTGATCTTTAACATTCGGGTTCTTGCACTTTAATCTTCGGGTTTAAACTTAAACCTTCGTGTTCTTGGACTTGTTCAGCCTACTGGCTAATTCAAAACTTATTTTCTTGAACTTGGACATATTTTGATTGTTTTTATTTTGTTGTACAACTTGTGGAGAGTATTGTCTTAAACTCTAGTCGTCTGTTTCATGATGGCCGGATCTGAGGAACTCAAGAATTCTAAGTTAACGGTTCAGACGAAAGTTTCGGAGATATTTTCTAGTAGAATCACTGACCGAAAACTAGATGAAATTAACTATTTTCAGTGGAAGCGTGTTATTGAAATCTACGATACTATGAAGCTTAAAATTCAGGATTTAGTTCTTCATTGTATGATAGTGAAGGAACTTTGGTATTTTTTGTAAGATCTCTATGGGGTAGTAGTAATATTAATCGGGTATATGAAGTAATTCAAGAGCTATTTCATAAGAAACAGGATGGTAAACCTATGGATGATCATTATGGTGAGTTCAATCGTCCGGCTGAGGAACTTTGTCAAAAATTTCCTATTACTGGGGATTTAAAACAAATACAGAACCAATAGAACAAGCTTATGATACTCACCTACTTAGGCATTCTAGATTCCATTTACTCCTCTGCTCGACCACAAATCATGGGGAGCTTCGCCATTAGTATTCTGACTGAGACTTATCATTTTCCGAAGAACGTTGTCCCTACACAGCCACTCACATCCACCGCGGATCGCTCTGCGCTTGCCACTCAGAGTTGGTAGTCTTATGGACGAGAAAGTCATACTGGTGGTCCTGAAAGGGGTAAAGGAAATTTTGAAGGGGGAGGAGGTTACCACACTGGTCGTTCTGGAGGCCGAGGTGATCAACGAGGTCCTCGTGGAGGTTCATCTCAAGGCAGACATGCTCATGGCGATGACTCAGTGAAGACTTGTAACTACTGCCACCAGCCTGGACATCTCAAATATAATTATCCTGAATTAGAAAAGAAGAAGGCCAATGGTGCTTATATGACTGCTGAGGACAATCTCACTTCATCAGATAGTCAAATTCAACCACAGTCACTCTTCCATGATGCGGAGTTGCAGCGTCAATTTCAGTAATTTTAATTATTTCAGTAGTGCCAAAGTTCACAAACATCGTCTATCTCTTTATCCGCTACTCTCAAAAGGGCAGGTGTCCCTTTATCTTTACTTACATTGTCTTCGTATCATACTTGGATTATAGATACATGTGCCACATATCATATGACTGGGAACCAATGTATCCTGTCCTCTTTCTTATGTGAAACAATGTGATGCGGGTATGAAGATCAGCGATAACAATGTTTCACTAAATCAACGATCGATCTAGGCAGGACACTCGAGAAGAAAGTGAAGCTCTAGATGGTTTTAAATGAAATTGCAATGTACTAAGTTTACGGCTTTGTAAATTATTCAGAAAAATAAAGATAATGATTCGTTCTCGTAATAAAAGTTCGACTTGTAATATTTAGATCAACAAATATACGCAATAACAGAATCACTCGCTTACTAATCAAGCAGAATACAGCACAATCGTAATTGATATTAAAATTGATAACAACATGCACGCGAAAGCAGTTCCTAAAATACTGGGTCGAAAGAAAACAAAACCTTTGTTGATCTGAACTGGTTCGAAGTGAGGGATCTCTGGAGGTGATGCAACGACGTCGAATATGAGGGTAGGGAGTTCTCCGAGAGCTACGTAACTAGGGTGAAGCGGCGTGTCCGGATGGAAGCGTCTGTGCCACGAACTAATACCCAAACGGTTCTCCATGCTATTAGCAATTTGAGGAATCACACGATCAATGTAATCAGCGGGAGTGTCGAAGGGCTGATAATCGAACAACTGAGAAAACTAAAAATCGATCACGCCGGTCTCGGGATCGTACACGAACTGGACGTCTTCGGCTGTAAGATCGGTCATACACCAATGGACCGCGTAAATAGGACTCGAATCGAACTCGAGTTGGACTCCAAACGGATCTGAATCGCCTTTGAATCAAGTATGAGACTTTAACGGGTTTGTTGCTAATGCGGGTTGGATCTGAACTCGCAATCAGACCCAACTAAATCGGGTCGGATCTGATCAAAAGAAATCAGAACCGATTGATCTCTTCTGCGTTCTCTTCGAACCTAGGGGAAGAGAAGGCGATGGCGTCACCGTGGCGATGGAGCGTCGAGCGACGAGATGATGCATGCAAAGCTGTTCAGCGGTGTGACTGAGGGAGATGATCGGCGGTGTGACTGAGGATGGCGGCGGATTGCTCGGAGGCGTGGCTGATGCCTGTGACGGCTAGGGTTTCAGGGTGCGGTGGCTAGGGTTTTAGGGAGCGGAGGAAGAGGAGGGTTAGGAGGCGAAGGGGTTATTCG